AACTCTCACATTAGGGTAGGCTGGCTAGCAAACCCCAGAGACCCTGACTCTGCCTCCCCAGCACTGGGATTTCAAGTGCATGGCGTCCTCTCTGGCTTCTTTTTTCTTTTGGAGTTCTTTATTTCCTTTTTACAGTGTTTGTCCTGCAGGTGTGTATGCGTACCACCTGGTGCGTGCCTGGGACCTGCAGAGATCAGTAGAGGGTGTAGGACACCCTGGCACTGGGCTTATAGGTGCTGTGATCCGCCGTGTGAGTGCTGGAAACCTAACCCGGGTCCTCTGCAAGAACAGGTGCTCTTAACTGCTGAGCCGCCGCCCCAGATGCAGCCCTGGCTTTTTAGTGGCCAAACTCAGGCCTTTGTGTTTGTGTGGTGAGTATCTGATGGAGGTCTATTCCCATCCCCGTGTTTATAGTCCTCCCCGATCACGACACCTTCTCACAGCATTCTAAATGAACTCAGACATCCATGAAGGGTCACGATTTCTCATTATGCTTGTGTCACCTTCACCCACAGCTACCTTAAAATCCTGTTACTCAGATCAGCTAGTGAGGAAGCTGTCTCACCTACCTTTTACTGATCTCACACACTTTAACTGATAATCAGCTGGAGTCCTGCACTATCCCTTAAGCTCTCCTACTTCAATAGTAGGCCCTATATGTAGAACCTCCAGAAGCAGGTTGGATGTTTCTCCCAAGCCATCTTTTAGTGCTTCCAAAAGAATCAGTTGGCAGCACCAAGAATTTTCTCTCTCACTTGTATGGTGATATGGATGAAAAATGTCTCCCATAGGCACCTGTATTCCGACACTGGGTCTCCAGCTCCTGGTGTTGCTTGGGAGGTTACAAAACTTTCAGGACAAGGAAGCTTCCTGGAAGAAGTACATCCCTGGGGATGGGCTTCAAGAGTTTACAGCCTGGCTCCACTTTTCCTTTGCTCTCTTGGCTTCCTGTTTGCAGTTGAGGTGTGGTCTCTCAGGCTCCTGTTCCTGTCACCTCCTGGCATGTCTTCCCAGCCATGATGGACTCTGCCCTCAGGAGCTGTAAGCCAAAATAAACTTTCTCCCTTAGGTGGCTTCTGGTATTTTATCACAGCAACAAAAAAGTAACTAATCCATCCTGTATATGGGAGTTCTGCTCCCATAGACACAGAAAGACGTCCAAGGCAGTTTAGCACATGTGAATTAGGCTAGAGTCATCAGAACTACTCTACTATAAAAGAAAAACAAAATTAAGGCTACAGCGTGGTTAAAGCTAACAAGACAAGGAGAGAAACCCAAACCTCCCCCTAGCCCAGAGGAGTAATTTTGCTTTTGAACATTTTAATAAGCAGATAGCTTCCGAAGCTTGTGCAGCGCAGGAGCTGCTGCCCTGCTCGCAGAGCTCTACAGGTTTTCTGAGGGTTCATCAAGCTCAGATCTACCATTAGTTTGCCCTTTGCCTCTCACCACAGAGAATCACAGAAGCTAGCAACAATGGAATTCTAAAAACGATGAGACTCTTAGGGAAACTAGTAGTCTAGGGTGGCCAGCTGCCCACCCGTAGCTCTCCTGAGAACTGCGTGCACTAGAAAACAAAGGCCAGGACTCTTCCCACGTGATCCCTGTGGGAGCAATGTTATTAGGGCTTGGATATAACATTTATAACACACACTGAGCCCTCTTTATTTTTTTTTTTCAGCTTAGTGAGCCTGAGAGTTTATTGGGGTTACTTACAGAAACACAAAAACCCCAGGCAGCCACATCTCCAGAAAACCCTCCTGAGCATGGGCGAAAATTTATGGAAACTGAATTCCTCAAGCTCCCTGCCGGCCTTTGAGATTGCTAGGCTATTCTCCCCTCTACAACAGTTGTTACTGATTTTACAAACTGGGAGGAACCTTGTGAATCTTGTAAGTTTCCAGAACTCTCTGAAACTTGTTCCTTACTTCTTGATCCAAGTAAGGGTGTTTTGTTTTGTTTTGTTTTCCTTTTTAATTTATTCTTCTCTCATATATTACATCCCGACTGCAGTCTTCTCTCCCTCTTCTCCCCTAGTCTCTACCTCTACGTCCCCTTTTCCCCAGATCTACCCTTTCTTAACCTCCCCTCAGAAAAGAGCAGGCCTCCCAGGGACATGAACCAAACACAGCATATCAGGCTACAATAAGACAGACACATATGCTCGCATCAAAGCTGGACGAAGCAACCCAGCAAGAGGAAAAGGGTCCCATGGGTAGGCAAAAGAGTCAGAAACAACCCCCGCCCCCACTGTTAGGAATCCTACAAGAACACCAAGCTAGAACCATAACATATATGCAGGGGAGCCAGGTCAGAGCCATGCAGGCTCCCTGATCTCTGCGAGCCCACTTGGGTCCCGGTCAGTTGATTCTGTGGGCTGTGTTCTTGTGGTGTTCTTGACCCCTCTGGCTCCTACAGCCCTTTCTTCCCCTCCTCTGCAGGACTCCTGGAGCTCTGCCTAATATGTGGCTATGGGTCTCTGCATCTGCAGACCAAGCCCTCTTGGTGGAATCTTTGTTTTATTTTTTAGACAGGATCCCTCTATGTAGCCCTGGCTGTCCTGGATCTCTCTGTGTAGACCAGGCTGGTCTCAAACTCAAGAGCTCTGTCTGCCTCTACCTACAGAGTGCTGGGATTAAAGGTGTGTATCACTACACCTGGCAATTGATGGACTCTTAATGCCCTGACCTTGAGCCAAAATAAATCCTCTCTCCCTTAAGTTACTCCCGTTGACGATTTGATCACAACAATAAGAAAACTAATTACTCCAGCATTACCATAATCGTGCCAGCTCTGTTTATCTTTGATTATGCTTTTCTTGGCTTAAGAAACATTTCTCAGTTAATTGGGGTTGTTATAAATTTCCTTCCTTTCTTTCCTCCAGGCCCCTTGGAGGTGTTTTTTGAAGTTGGGGATGGCTGGGTGAATTGCTTTGATCACTGAACTGTGCACAGAGGTGATAATATCACTTCTGAGCACTGATAAGAAGACCCAGGGATCCAGTCACGTGTTCCTAGCATGCCCTTATCCTGCCTTGGTACTTGTGGGAGAACGTTCTGTGTTGGTGCCCAGCATTCTGCATCCAGGAATGACTGAGCAGAGCCCCAGAGTTGTCTGAATCAGGCATGGAGAAGAAATAAGTCCCCCACCCGCCCACCGACTCCCTTCTTGCTCTGATGCTAAATATTCTCCTGAATTTTAGTAATAATTTTGGAGGTTAATTTTTTTTTTTTTTTTTACATTTAACCTTTAATTTCTTCAGTATAACACTTGTTACGGGAGTCTGCTTAGATCCAACATAATTCAAATTTCAGGTCAATGCAGCTGACAAAAATTATTTGTAATTAAGCTATTACTAAAGGATCAGGAGCGAAGAACAGACTTGAGAGCTGAACTGCAACAAAAAGCCAGACTATCACGGGACATTTAAGCTTGCAAAGCATAGACATCTGTGCCAAGTTACTGTTCCATTTTTTCCACCAATCAGGATAGGAGTTGGTTCTTCGCCTAGGAACATGAACTTCTTTGACCCTACCAGCAAGATGGAGAAGCTGTCCTTGAGATGGCAGGACTCAAACAACCGTCTCCTAAAAACAGAAGCTGTTCAGCTATTGGGAAGTCCCCAGCTCCCCTAGGGCCTGGGGCCTTTAACTTAGTTTCCTCCTACAACTGAATAGGATCTGAAAACAAAATTGCTTTGAACAATTTCCTTACGCTCCTTCTAACACTCTTATGTATGGTAAGAGGCAGCCAGTTTAGCTGAGAGATCAAACTGGATGTCAGTAGTGGCTCCAGAGCCAGGCAACATCCTTACCTCACAAAGCAGAATGAGGACACTGAGCAGAGAAAGTTGGGTTCAGAGGCAAGAAAGAGCCGGTCAGATGGGGCCTCGCACGGGAACGTGCTCCCAGAGGTTTTACACAAATATTACTTAACAGGTACATGTAGAGATCTGAGAGCCAGTTGTCCTCATCCATTTAATATTTTTTTTCCACCGTGAGGTTCAAGGGCCACCCCTATCATGCACTTCCTGCCTGTGCCCGCATGGTTCATTTTCCTGACTATATATCCAACGGGGTTTTTCCTTTGGTTTCGTTTTGTTTTGTTAGCCATTTTGCTTTCCTTTTTGAGACAGGGTTTCTCTGTGTAGTCCTGGCTGTCCTAGAATTCATTCTGTAGACCAGGCTGGCCTTGAACTCACAGATCCACCTGCTTCTGACTACCAAGTGCTGGGATTAAAAGTGTGTGCCACCAACACCCAGCGTCTCCAATTTTTTTGTTGCTTTGATTTGGTTTTTGGTTTTTCAAGACAGGGTTTCTCTGTGTAACCTTGGCTGTCCTGGACTTGATTTGTAGACCAGGCTTACAAATTCACAGAGATCCGCCTGCCTCTGCCTCCCAAGTGTTGGGAATACAGGCGTACACCACCAATATTTTTTGTTGTTGCTGGGTTTTTCATTTTGTTTTGTTTGGGTTGGTTTTGTTTTTGTTTTTGAGATCTCACTGTGTAGCTCTGGCTGGCTGAGAACTTGCTACATAGATCAGGCTGGCCTCAAACTCCTAAGCTTAACCTGCCTCTGTCTCCTGAGTGCTGGGACTAAAGGTGTGAGCCACCACAACCAGCTCTCTAATGGTCATTTTGTTTACTTTTGTACCATTAAAACATTTGCTGTTGCTTACTGGCAGACAAGACAGGAATTTCTTCAGGCATGGATAATGGGGAAGGGGAGTAAGGGGGGCTTTGTTGCCTTGGGATAAACCCGCCCTGGTGAGTACAGGACACACACTTTAATCACAGTCAAGTGTCAGTGGGCAGTAAATTTGAAGTAGTGTTAAGTTCCACAGTGTTACGTTTCAGTAAGCTCTTTGAAGCCTTGAATGCTGAAGTAGACCTCCCCTGAAAGGATCCCACCCTTCTTTCCATCCCCTTAGAGAAACAGTCAAGTTCTTGCCCTTTGGCCTCCCTTCAACTCCCAGGCTCACAAGCTGCAGGCAGAAGAGGGCTACCGCTCATCAGGAGGAAGCAGCTGAACCAGGAGACAGAACATCACCACAAGGAGCCAGAATGCACAGCTCTCTCCGGTTCCTGAAGATGAGAAGAGAAAGATTGCCATATGAGAGCTCTCAAGACATGGGTATCTTCCCTAAACAGCCAGAACTTTACCTCCAGTTCAAAACCCAAGAGAGGAGATGCGAGACAGCTGGGGTACCTGGCTGGACTCTTCCAGCATCCTTGACATTCCTCAAGTGCCCAGATACGAGGAAAGTGAGCAAACTCACGGATCCTGCCTTCCAGGGTTCTGTGCTCTAAGACACTGCCTGGGTGAAAAAAGCCTTTCCTACCCAGACTTTTCCCTGGCCTTCTAGGGGCACAACAGGCATTTCCCTCTTCACCCAAGAAGAGTTTCTTGGTCTGAACTTTCTGAAAGTCTGTTGTTAAAGCAATATGCGTTCTTTCTATGTGGAAAGCAGAGCTTACGTGTGGCTCTCAGCCTGCCTAGATAGAGCACGGCACATGTGGCCCAAACAGGCAGCATCTTTCTTGCAGGGCTGTGCCCCTGGGTGTTAGGTGTCATCTCTTTGGGCTTGATCCAAATTCACATTTTCTCTATGTAAAATCATAAAGTCCCTGTGGTTGCTTTCTGTAGTTCCACTTCTACCTCCAAAGACTTCTCATGTTTCCAGAAACCCCTCAGAGTGTAAGGACTAATTAGATCTAGGCTGTCTCTGTACTCAGTAGTCTAACTGCAACTCACTTCAGATTGGCTGTTTGCTCAACTTCCTGAAACAACATTTAGTGGAGCCTAGATGTAAGGCTAGACACTGTGCAGATCCTGAGTGGTGGGCGATAGGAGACAAGCTCTCTGAACTTAGGTAAGCAAGGGATTTTCCTGTGTCTAGCCATCATCAATATGAATTTGGATCAGATGGCTGAGGTGCGAACAGGGTTCTTCATAGTTAGAAACAAAAGGCATTTGTTGAACAATATCTACGTGCCAAGTAATTCTCAAAGCGACAATACTAGAATATTTAGTTAGTTGTGTATTTATCTTTCAAATGGGGAAACTGAGGCAGAGAGAGCTGCTAACTGGCCAAGAGGCACAGAGCTAGTGATGTTTAAACCAAAGTACATTGAATCTGACTCCAAACCTATGCCAGAGAGTGCGGTGCAGTAATTTTCTCTGGAAGTGTTAAGGAAGGGTCACTATGATAGATGGCTTGAACTCCGCCTCCAAAGGTAATCGCCACACTAATCACCATACTGTAATCGGTGAAGTCTTTGCTTGCATTGAATGAGATACCTGTCAAAGAGAGAACTCAGGCCACAAAGAATGATGAGACCCCCCAACACGGGGCAGCTTCGGTTTGAAAGACGGATGAAGAGCTGCTGGCGGCACTTTTCACTCACCCTGAGGCTGGCCCTGGTGCTAACTTTTTCCTGATGTCCTCGCTGTTTCCAGCATTTCTGACGCACCTTCCCTGAGGTATATGCCCCTTCACACAGCAATGCTGCCCTTCAGCATTCCAGGCGCCCTCGCCATGTGCATGGTCTAGGCAGGCTGTACACCTTCTGAGGGGAGGAACCCCCCTTCCATTTCATGATGTCCTCAACCAGCTCCACCTCTAACACAGACCTAGACTCACCTGAGCTTCTCAAATGGCAGATGTCTATTTCAGTAGAACCATTATAGAAGCAATTGAAGTTGCTCTTCTTTCTTTGGGGGGAGGCCAGAGAAATTTTGTTGTACCCATTTTCATTTCGTGTTATGGTGACTTCGTGATATACTTCATAGCCTGGAATTAACACTTCCTCTTCACGAGGGAAGGAGGAGATGTCTTTGATATCAACCCCCAAGCAGGTGTTGATGGTAAACAGTGTCCCACGATCACTGCAAAATTCTGGAGAAAGAGCTACACTCTTAGCCATAGTTGAGGAAGCGAACTGCCCAAATCGCACAGAGCCCTTCTCTCTGTAATTAAACTTGGTCTTAGTGCCTCGATAAACCGTGAAACAATTCTGGTTACTCAGAAGCTGAAGAGCTCTTGTTAAGTAGTAGTGGAAGGCTTTGTAATGGAAGTTGGCTGGGTTTGTCTTGAACGCTCTAACAGCTCTGTTAAAATCTTTGGCGAGGTTCCCAGTGTAAGTCACTAAAGCTATTCCATGGAAGTCATGGAAACCTTCGGAATAATTCCTTCTATTTTTTATCGTCTCCCATTGCTGCTCTGCCCTTTCCCACTCAAGTTTTAATTGCTCGTTCATGTTGAAGTCTTCTTGTAATAGCTGGGGTGCCTTTTCATCCATTTCTTCCACACAGCCCTCATACTGATCGTCAAATGCATTGGGAGCCATGTCTAGCATGGTGAGCTCTGTCAGGCCAGTCAGCTGAAAGAAAGACGTGGGGGCCTCTGTTACTAGCTAAGTTTGCTAAGTTCCTGGCATGTGGGTGCTGTCTGGATGAGATGTCTTTGTTCAATCATTGTTTTTAGTCAGCATACAAGAGAACAGGCCTCATCATGACCCTTTCATACCTGTCTACCATTTCATAGTATTCATATTCACCCCAAACAATCCTCTGCCCTTACTGATATTATTCTTACATTACTTCTTCAATATTCATGCTCTCTCACATCCTCTAGCCACACACTCAACCCTGGGAACTGTAATATCGCAAAGACGTGGGCAGGGGAAAGCAAGGTCAACAGGATGTGGGTTAAGATTCTTACCTGCTGGGTTAGCCACCAAGTTAGGAGGACTCTGTGAACTTTTGATGTCATCTTCAAGTTCAAAAACAGCTGCAAGCAGATATAAGACAGTGAGGGAGGGGTACACACAGTGGTTTAACAGCCTGGTGGCGGGTGAGCTCCAGGTTAATGGCCGACTCTCTTCCTTCACTCCCCGAGGTCCAGGCTCCTGCTCACGCTGCTCCCAGAATGGCTTATCAGGACTCTGGGACCAGATGTGCTCAGATGCTTCCCAGAGAAGTGACTGACAGACACCCCTCTCCCCAGTAAGGAGCTACTACCAGTCAGTCCTGGGAACACTCGGAGATATGTTGATAGGGGTTGCCAAGGAGAAACAGGTCATATTTTAGCAGGTCTGGCACAGGCTCTGATGTTTCCCTTTCCACAAATGCATAAACTCTTGTCCGTGTTTGGTCACCCTGTGGCTCCCATTCAGTGCAGTACCTCGGAATGTCTCCTAATGGTGTCAGTATTCCTATGACTTGGCTGTGGATGGCCTCCAGAGGCCCCCGGGGTGGCCATATGGAAGTGGTGAAACCTCTAAGAGGTGAGGAATACTGGGAAGTGATCGGGTTCTGGACAGCATCAGAAGCTCTGTCTTGGAGGATTCTACTCAGTTCTTGCAAGAGCAAGTCTGACCTCGGCCTCTCTGTCTTCCTCTCTCGACATGTGTTCCCTTCTGCACATGGCAAAGGCTTCTCTGCCGTGTTTCGATTCTCCCAGGAAAGCCCTAACCAGCCAGCATTGCCATGTTATCTAGACCTTCCAGCTGAGAACGAAGTGAACCCTTACTTTATAAACTTTGTGGCATCAAGCACTTCGTGGAAGTAACAGAAGACACAAGCTGAGGGGTAGCTCAGTGGGTAACGTACTTACTTGCAAACATAGACCTGAGTTTGGTCCCCAGAGCCTCTGAGAGAAAAACAGGCTGTGGCTACACAGAAAGAGCTTCTCTTTTAAAACTCGTAATTAAAAAGGGATAAATAGCCAGGCGGTCATGGTGCAGGCCTTTAATCCCAGCACTAAGGAGGCAGAGGCAGGCAGATCTCTGTGAGATCAAGGCCAGCCTGATGTACAGAGCTTGTTCTGGGACAGACAAGGCTACACACACACACACACACACACACACACAAAGCCCTTTCTAGAAACCTCCACCACCCCACACACACTAAAAAGGATTTATAAAGAAGAGGATAGAAGCTAACGTTAGCATGGAGCTGGGAGAAATACGAGATTAATTAAAAATATTCCTGTTCTGGCCTGAAAGCCCAAGCAATACAGGAAGAAAAAAGTCTGCATACACAGAAGAGACGGATGTCAGTTGCATCCTGCAGTGCCTGGGAGGTAGGCTGTATGGTCCTGCTTTGTTTTGGTTTGTTTTGTTTTCTGCTTTGTATTTTTTAAGCTTCTAGAAACACTGATAGTCTCATGCCTGTCCTTCCTTTATCTAGACCTGATCCCATCTCCCTACAAGGACTCTTACCCAGAACTGACCTTCTGGCTTTAATCCTTAAGTCACAGACACCTACTGCTACACCCACTCCAGCCTTCTTCAGGGGACAGGGTTCAGGTTCGAGTACCTGAGCGGATGTCTGGCAGCTGGGTCTCCGGCCTCTTCTAAAAGTCAGTGTTGCAGAAGGCAGTGCTGTGGCCCTTTTATCCTGGGGATGACTCGCTTTCACTTTCAGGTTAGAGGCAGCCATAGGGTTTGTGACTACTTAAATTAGGTAAATTGTTTTTGTTACGACACCTTTTCCATTGTCAGTCTCCTTTTTGTTCTGTTTTTTTTTTTGTTTGTTTGTTTGTTTTTTGTTTTTTATTTTTTTAATTTTGCTTTTGTTTGAGACAAGATCCTATTCACCCAGATTGGCCTCTAACTTGCTATGTAGCTGAGGACAACCTGAACTCTTGATCTCTTAACACAAATCTAGATATATTGGTACTAAAATAGAACCCACACTCTCCTGCTGCTAAGGAATCACTTTACCAACCAAACTACGCCCCTACCCTGTATCTTTTCCTTAGAGAGTTAGGGCTTTCTGTTATTCCCCACATAACTGATTGGTGTGTGTGTGTGTGTGTGTGTGTGTGTGTGTGTGTGTGTGTGTCATGGGGGGTGTATCTGTATGTGTCGTGTAAAGGGTGAGGGGAGTGTGTGGGAGTGTGTATCTGTATGTGTGTGTGTATGATATGTAGATACTGGAGAAGCAGAAGTTGGTTGATTCTTTGCCCTATATACCAGTTTTACAAATTACATGAAAGCCTGTTGTGGTGGCCCACACCTTTAATCTAGCTCTTGGGAGGCTGAGGCAGAAGGATCTCTGTGAATCTGAGACCAGCCAGGTCTACACAGTGAGACCCTTTAAACAAAACAAAACCACCACCAAATTACCAGAGCCCTTTAGGGGAATTGGGTAGAGGCGAAGAGAGCTGGCCAACTGTAAGGCTCCTTTTTGCATCCCTAGTTGTTCCTGGCTACGATTTTCTCCTATGATGACTAGAGCATATGAGAAAAATGTAGACTTTAAAGTTTCCTTTGGGAACTACTTGCCTCTTTCAATCCTAGATCCTCATAATGAATCCATCATTTTCTTGGGTCCATAGACACAGCAACTAGGTGACATTTTTGATTAAAGAAAAATGCAGTAATGGTTCAGGTGGCCCAAAATCAGCCTCTTGTTCTATCATGTATAGGGAAGATTTAAAAAAAAAAAAAAAGAGAGGCTCCATCAAAATAATACTCTGAGACCTTTTGTGCATCCAGCTTTCATAACTGAACTTTCACATAAATAGAACTTGGAAGAGTATATGCTTATGCTGGTGTATATTTAGAGGGAAGTCATTTTCTCAGATCCTACAAGCGAGAGGATCTGAGAAACTCATTTCCTCCTCCTTTCCCCTTTTCCCATTCCTCCCCTTCCTCTTTCTCTCTGAGACAGGGTCTTGCTATGTTACCCTGGCTGGCCCAAAGTCTTACTCTCAGGCTTTCTCAGTGGATGAGACTATAGATATCATTTCTCCAGGTTCTAACTCTCTCTTTGTTCTAGATCTATCTGACAACCTTGACTCAACACACTTCTGTGCCTGAGCTTGTTCTAACACTATTCTACAATCCTACAATCCTATATTGTTATATTGGACAAAACATATCATTGTTTGGTCCTGATCATTGATATTGAACTGAAGGCACGAAATCCTGGCATCGGAGAAACGGCAACCTGAATGTTGTACAAGTGTCCCCGTGTGTGGTGACCTATGTGTCTGTAATCTCACTACTTGTGAGATGAAGGCAGGTAGATCAGGAGTTCAAGGACAGCCCTGACTGCATGGCAAGTTTGCAGCCAGCCTGGACTACATAAGACCCTACCTCAAAAACAGAAAAGAGTGGGGAGAAGGATGTTAAGAAGGGCTACCGTAGCAGGAAGATGCTCAAAGACTAAATCAAAAACCCCTCAGGAACAGGGTGGCCTTGGCACAGTCATGTGCCAAGACTGTGATAAAGAGGAAGGTGGCTGTGAAAAGAAAGAGGGGACAAATATGCCACAAGACCAACATTTAAAGATCAACATTCTGCATCAAGCATACCTTAACTGGTAGTAGGAGCCAGCCATGATTTTGGTGATTATGCGCCTGGGTGAAGTCCAGGTGCTTCGGTGGTTCAGGCCTCTAGATTGTGAGAAGTTCACACCGAATTAGGTTCAGTCCTAGTCTATCATAGTACCAGAACTTCTCATCAGCCTGTGCACCCCCTGACTCAGAGAAGCTGTCCTCTTATAACTCAGGGTAAGGGGAAGGTAGGGGAGGAGACTGTCTTGGTGGAAGTGTTCTCGAGGACCAGTGAAATACCCAGATCGCAAGTCCCCAAAAGACCAACAGGCTTTGAATCCGATGTAAAACACACAAGGGTCCTTTATTACAAACTCGAGCTGGGTGGCTGCCCTTATAAGAACAAAGGGGCAAGCGACCCCCAACTCCAGGGGAACAGGGTGTTTAAGGGGTCAAAACGCAAGCAGGGAAGTGTAGGTCTTGGCATTACAGGATTGGGTGAAAGGGTCTCTAGGGGAGCTGACCTTTAAAATGATTGGTTTGCTTTTAGGCGCCAAAACTGCAAACGGTTAGATCTGGCTACCTGGGGAACACCTGACCTCCCCCTTCGTACATGCAGGTTAGGCTGTAGCAAGGGGGAGGGGGAGTTAACACATTCCATGGGCTTCCTTAGGGCCTATGTGACCCTAGTCACACTCTAAGGTTAATCTGGGTAGGGGGCTGCTGCTGGACCTCTGCTCTGAAAGACTGTGATTTTGCCCCAGTCGCAGGAATTGACTCTAAGTTTTAGACCCTTTCACCAGCTGGTGCATGTGTCTACGTGTGGAGACCAGCCTGATCCGCATGCGTTCCCACAGATGCAGCATCTCAGGCATTAAGTGCCAAAAAAGAAGAGGAGAAATACCCATGTGAAATGCTCCATTAAAGCAGAAGTTGAAACCCACAGGACTCCAGAAAGCGGATTCTAAGAGTTGGATACATGGAAACCTTTCGATTCCACACGACTGCCTGCTTCTTGAGATTTACGACGTTGAAGCCCTCATGGCACTGTCTTGATTACTTTGCACACGGGAAGATCGCAACCCCCGCATTTTGCCTAGTGATCCGAACGGCAGCCTGTCCAGGTGGAAGTCCTTCCCACCTCAGCCTGCAGCAATGACCGTCCTCTGAAGCATGCAGACAGACTGTAACCTGCAACAAGTATGTAGGCCCTAAGAGGAAAAAGCCAGGGACGGAGTAATTTAGAATCCTCCGAAGCATTTGGAGCTGTTAAGGATGCAAGTTGGGAAAGAGGGAGAGACACTGAGGAGGAATCTGAAGAACTGTAGTCAGGTTTGAGGGAAACCAGAGGAACTGCAACCTGGTGAGTGTTGCAGGCCGGGTGGTGTTGGCACAGGCCAGCCCTAGGGAGGCAGAGGCAGGCAGAGCTCTTTAACTCCAGGCCAGCCTGGTCTGCATAGCAGCCCCAAGGCAGGTAGGAATACGCA